TCATACTGAATTCTGTAGTTGAATACACTCAGTGCGCATTTAAATCGACGTAGAGATTTGTGTTTAATATAAATAGAAACGGATTAAATTGTAAAATCCTCAATATTTTATTGTGCTATACAATTCGAAATATTTGCAATATTTCACGTTTACGCTCAAATTAGATCAGTGGCTTTAATATGAATCCAAACAAAGTTTTGCTCATAGGCATGAGACTTATTTTTATAGTAATTTGTAACTTTATTATATATTGAGTCTAACAATATTTAGAATAAAAATTTACTAAATAGCGATAAGAATATGTGAAACATTTATCTATTAGCGCACTATTACATTGAGAAATGTATTTGAGAAATGAGATTTGATATCGAAAAAATTTTAAGACAACTAATAAGATACTTGTGACGGTAAGAAGACATGCAAGGCACGATGCGCCATAATTTCTATATTTAAATGTAATTATATATACGAGTACAAGAGGTGGCTGAATGAGCAAGCGTCGTTATCTCCCAATTCCATACGTATTTCCTTCCTAAATAAATGCCTAAAATAGCATACACACTCTTTCTCTCATCTGAGATAAATGTTACCCAACAAATGTCGCCGCTAAATACAAATCAATGACAATGGTGGCGCGATTGTCGAAGCATTGGTGTTCACACATGTGGCAAATGGATCAGGTGAACCTCTTATACCTGCGTGACGTGCGAATATTTATTAATCACGTCCCATAATAGAGCTGTTCCACTTAAGACTCGCTACACACTTGTGAATTTGATATACTTTCATGCACACGCCGTTGTGCGTTGGGAAAATTTTCCACGCTGATGTTTTACGATTACCTGTCTGCCTGCCTCTGCCGTACGCGAATAATCATACAAAACATTCTGGATCACTGAATTGCTTACCGATTGTGTACCATTATTATATCGTTCTGTGGATAATCCATAATGGAAGTGATAAAAAGATTAAATTGTCTTTACATTTTATATTACGAAAAATTTTTCATAATCCATTCCGCTTTTTTTTTATTTTTCCATTCTACTACAAAAACTATATATAATCTTTTTCTTAAGGATAGATTATTTCTTGAGAGTAGATTTCTTCGCTACACATACAGTTTTCTTTCATATATATGATTTATTATAATTAATTTCAAATATACATTAACATAGTAAAATATCAAGAAAAAAGAAATGAACATTTTTATTCAGCAATTATAATTATAGTGAATATAATTATTTTCTTTGCTTATTATTTATACAGTAATAATAACTAAAAAATATGTTAAGAAAAAATGCTAAAGATTTTCGAGTAGTGAGTGTGGCTATAGTAATAGCACAATTAACTATATTTGCATGGTTAAAACAGTTACAAATGTACATATAGTTGTTCTAAAAAACGATTACAAATGATAGTTAAATTATAATAATTATAACCCATTTTTTTCTCTCAGTACAATTCTAAATGAAACAAGATCTAATATCCAATTTCGAGTTTCAAAACGTATACGTACGTGTACATGTTTTGCATCCGTTTTCCATGAATTAGAAAGAATTAACGCTAATTCCTAATTGCTAAATTAGTATCTATTGTGGCAATAATCTCGATAACCGTGATTCTTTCATAATTTTCCATACTGCCATCTATTCCGTATTCCGTGTACGAAATCAACTCATTTTTCCATACATTATTCTCCTACATCGAAAAAACCTACTTGATGTCTTTTATAAATCTACAATTGGCATGGCACGTAAGTTTATCATCTTCTCATTTCCGCAGCAATATAATAACCGAAATATATCTTACACATGTACAAATATCAAAAGACATCAAGAAGACATTTAATAGGGAATATTAGCAATCTGTTTTTTAGCAAAAAACTCTCTCTATTTTACGATGCTTCGATGTTCATTACATTTTTTAACATTTACGATCAGTCTACTAACATATATAATCGAATATTTGAATATACGAATTGGTGTGCGAAACCCGATATTCCAGTATGTTGAATGTTCAAATTCTAGCATATATATATATATATATATATATATATATATATATACACACAAATATTTAAATAGATAAATTAGTGCAAAAGCCGATATTTCAGTATCTTGATCGTTAAAATATTTTGAATCAGAATCCTCGTGTCGAATTTATTCGAACGATATCATTGTTCGAATATTTACACAGCCCTAGTTTCCGCTCATATTTCACGTTGTAAACTTACGTGTGTAATCGCATGGGATATTACCAGTGATTACATCGCCGACATCTGCGATTTGGATTAGACCGCCGCGTGTAAATCGCCTACTACGTAGTACGAGATACGAGAAAGAACAACTCCCCTCGCGTACCTTTCGCAAACAAGCGTCGCGCGAGCATTGTTTGTTCGCGCCTCGTTCGTACAAACAATCTGCATGATTGCAAACAATCTCGTGTCGACGCGTCATTATGCGCGTCGTTGTGCACAGCGGAGCAAAAGTTCCCTCGAATTGTAGATTGAAGAACGTGGAAATTTATCGGGAGACAATATCCCTCTGAAGTTGATCATCTTTCCCATTCAAGCATCACAAGAGAAAAATAAAGAATAACATTTGTTCTATAGACAATTTATATACGGTCGGGGAAAAGTATCGCTCTGCAAACGGGATCGTCTTTATTTTTTTCAAATAATGAGAGTAATATCTCATACAAGCATTTCATGAAAGATTGCAGACGAAAGATAGTAAATAAAAGAAATAAAAAGTATAATTAATATCAACAATTACAATTCAGGTATTAGACCGGCGAGAATAAATCAATTAAAAGAAATGAAAACTTATTTTCGATTAAAGCGGATCTTAATATTTAAATATTATTTTACACACAAATATATATCTTAATATTTTAATTTTATTTTTACACAATAGAATGAATTAAGAGGTCTGTTTTCCTGCACTCTCTGAATTGGTGTACACGGTGTACATTTGTGAAACACGGTGCAATAAGTTGAAGTGAAAAAAACGTATGTTTGTTTCACTTTAACTTATTATCGTGTGCAGGAATTTAAAACTGACCTTATACAACGTATCCAATTCTGCAAACGCGTGCCTTTTTCAGTCTTGAAACGTAATCATGAATAAAACTAAAGTAGTAATATCACATATGAAATTAACAATATAAGTATCTCAAGAACTAAAATAATTTAATTTATTACGAAAAATATTGTTAAGTTGGGATTCAAGATCGATAAAAGATTTCGTGCAGTTTACAGAATATGTTATAAATCACACTCTGAAATTGAAGCACTTTGTAAGATCCGCTGTGATTAAAAATAGGTTTATTTCTCTCAATCGATATAATTAATACATTGATATTTTCCACATTAACTTGTCGCATATTATTATATCGATAAATATGCGATGAAAACACGGCATAGAATTGCATAGCGATTCAAATATCTCAGCTGACCTAAACGACTTTCGAAATAAACGGCTCTAGTAACTAAAACTGAGCGTGATTAATATACTTATCTTCGCACTTGACGCAATCTATTCGTTCGCAGTGCTATGCGTTCAAGAATATTCTCGGAGTTCGAATCAGCCGAGTGAAAGAATATCTACTCATAAATTTCTCGATTCTCGGTCCTGTCGGTTGACTGTTATATCTTTTTTCTCCTTCTTTTTTACGATCGTGCCTATCGATATGGCGCGTACGCGCCTCCTCGACGAACGATACGTATGTGCACATATTAATAGATTTGTCGAGTCACCTCATCGGCATAGAGATATTTCGTCGTGGGTGTAACGATACTCGCGTTGCATACAAAAGATATAATAGACGCGTAAATATTGGTTTCGTAATCGATTAAGAAGATCAGAATCTGATCGACGAGAATCGCTCTAACATAAATTTTTTTACCCTCACGATCACTAGAATCTTATTAATCAAACAAAAATCGTTAGGCTTATTCGAAGCATTTGAAAAGTATGCATATAAGGTGTTGAATAATTGAGCATATTTCGTTATCTCACTTTCGATCGTGTTACTCGATTTCCTCGAGACATTCTTTCTTTTCTAATAAATTTTTCGAATTTAATAACATGTGTTTTAAGACTTGTGGAGTGATTAAACAATTTACTGTTTTAAATAAAAACATGAATTCGATATATAATCCATGTTGCATTATGGCGCCACGAAATTTATAAATTTATACGTCTAAGCGTATAAAAATCACAGAAAATTAGATTATTATATATTAATGCTACTAGTGACAATATACAGTATGTACATTGTTAGAAATGGCAATCCAATCCTGATTTTGAATCGAATTTTGTTATTTTTAACTTCTATATATATCAAAATATAAATCATCTATATCTGTAGTTTTTTGTAAAATAAGCAATGTCCATATTAATATACTTATACACTTAATAAATAATAAATTAAATTTGAGTCGATTTTTACCATATTTTCTTGAGTTATTTAAATTGTTTAATTTTATTGTTTTAGTTTAGTTAAATTAACGACATATTGAGTAAGAGTGGCGAAATGATTAAAAATAATTCAATTGGTATAATTTGACATTATATGAATTTAACAGTGTACTTGACGATTTCTTCAAATCTACTGCAACTCTCTAAACAAATGAAGAGAGAATATTACACATTATTGAATACTCTATCTTAAATATTATCTAATATCTCGGAATCATTTCAAAAAGTTAAATTTATATAAATTTTGAATGGAATATAAGTTTCTTGTATTTTGCAATATAAGATTATTCTTGCTTTACTCGACAAATTTATTATAATGCTGTGTGTTTATCTAGTTAAAAAGTATGCAAAAATTCAAGTTGACATCTCTATCGGAGACATGCTTGTAATACATAAACATTGACTCGTGTCTTGAAAATATAAATCTGTACAAATGTTTTGCAACTTTATTGCACGATCAAAGAAAATAAAAACGTGAAGTCATGTGGTTAATGATTATCTTGTTTGTTGTTCTTTCAGCAAATTGTCGCGGCAAAGTCTGAGATCCGGTATATCTAAACATGGAGTTGACACGATTACCTTCGACACTGGCTTTGGCTTTGGCCCTGGCCTTCCTTTCGACGACACATCGTTGCAACGCCACCTCAGAAAGTATAATCGGTGAGTATTACGAGCACAGAAGCACGCGCGATGCACGCAACGATTGCGAGCGTGTTATTTTAATAGCTGACTAATGATTGGGCTCAAAAGGGTGCCAACGTCTCGAAACTCGATCGATGCTGTTTGGTTGCATTCAAATTAATATATAAGCGAAAAGTACTATCGCGCTATTTTTTGAGAGTAATTAAAATAATAAAAATTAAGAGTGTGTTTTCTGACGAAGTTCTAAAATAATCCTGGAATATATATTATGGTCGGGTAACATATATTTGATCAAAATTATTGTAATAAAATTTTTATTAATAAAATATTTTTAAATATTTTTAAATATTTATACGTTTATAAAATATATATTATAGAATCTTAATTTGAACATTTATGTAAAGTAAAAATTATTCTTTTCAACAGAAGAAAAAAGAACTGTATTCTTCGATAGAGCTTTACATGCGAAAAAGGAGAGAGAACGCTAATAAATTAATTACTGATTAAGAAACAATCCTGTCGCTATAAATTACATAAATCATTATATATTACATCCTCATAACAGCTCAAAGGAGGAGAATATTATTGCATATTGTATTTGTTTATGTCTTATTTTTTTCAGCGAAAGAAACAATAATTATGTTATATAACCATACTTATTATATGTATCATTCAAATTTTGCAAGTCAGATTTAACATTACTATATTTATTATTCCTTAAGCCTTAATCTATAGCATTTAAAAATTTCTTTTCTTTCTATCGACATTAAATTTATAATCTCAAAATAGGTTTTATACTATTATCTCTTAATAATAATTACGAATATTCTCACCATTTTTGATACGTGAATGATATAAAGAAATCAATGAAAGAAAGTAGTAGAAATATCGCGTGTTCGGGATTGAAGGCGTAAAACTACGTTTTTATCTCGCTTTCGTTCGCGTTTCGTAATAGTTGTATCGAGTGATACTTCCGCGATATACGAATACACGAACAAGACCTAACAAGAGCTGCGCGCGAATATTGCCGACGAAGCGATCGAATTCCCGATTCCAGCTGCTTTGCTATCTCGCAGTACACTCGCGCGCGAGTCCGTCATGCTCCATTTACGCCTTTTAAATGCTCTATTCTTAGCCTATCTCCATTATCTGCCGTTCTATTTGCGCCAGAATCGAGTCGAATCTCACGGTTCGTACGAGTCATCGTGAGTGGAGCAGGTCGCCGTTTCTGCCTCGCATTCTCGTAAGAATGCTTTGTTCGTGAGTTTACGCGAGTTACCGTCGTTACTGACAAATTCACGTGCAAATTTTTCTTAAAACACTATGCACTATTTTTGTGGCTATTTTTTCAAAATCTTACACGTTCATTTTAATCTTTGTGGAAGTCATTCTATCTGAAGAATATATATGGATTACTCATAATATATGAAATACATAAGAATTACCTATTTTCCAAAATTATTCAAAATTACAAAATAACACTTTTGAAGCATTTAAGGGATATCGAATACATTACTTTTGTGCTAAATGCAAAAAATTAATTAAATCTTTTATAATCATCAAACATTTTCTTTTGTAGTTGAATTAGTTTATGAAAATTAGTTTTTGAAAATGTTAGAGTCGATTTTTATTAAAAAAAAAAATTAATCATGATATTTTATATAGGTATAAGTTATTCTTTTATAGTATCTGCAAATATATCATATTAAAAAAACTGTGCGTATTAATTTATTTATTATTGTGGATTTCATCGCGCAATCAATTATGATTCTTAAAAAATTTGAACTTATGTACAAATTATTTAAGTAAATATTTTATATACCAGAAAAAATTTCTTGTATCTCTGCTTCTCTCTTGTATATCTTTTGAAATGAGCTCTTAAAATCATATAAAACTTTTTTACATAATCTCTATAACAGATTATATAACAGATTACATACTGCATATAACAAAAGTTGCTTGTCTTCGATCCACTAATTTTTGCAAATTATTAGTTTACAACTACAATATGATTTCGCGTTAATGTCTTTTACGGGACGACTGATTTACTTTCACGACATACAATCGCTCATCATTGTGCGTATTGTGTGAAACATATCGGTCAACGACAACAAAGTCGATTTCACGAGGTCAGTCCGGCAGAGTTCAATTTACAATGGTAATCGCGTCATTTTTGTCGGAAATTGCATCGGGCGTAACCGTATCCGCGCGGAACAACGAACGGCAAGTTCAACCTAAACGGCCACTTACGCTGAGTGCAACGGGTGCGTAAATATCACCTCTCTCTTTCCTCCGTGTCCTTTTTCAGGACGCCGCAACACATGGCTAAGTGCATCTCGGAAATTGTCCGCATTCATCGGCGGAAGCGCAAGTCCCTCTTTGCGAAGCGTAATCGAGGACGCTACGTGTTTTTCAGGAAATTGCGTTCCCACTGACTGTTCAGAGCTAATCAGTTCGCGCTGTTTCGCAGAAGTCGCGGGAGCGAAGTACGATTTTATAAACACTTTTGATAGTAGTAGTCGCGGAATGCCGATGATATTGAGAGTGCTCATCATTAGCGCCGCCCGAAACCGATTAGATTTACGCGTAGCGCGGCTTCGTTTCATCTGCTAATTAATCCTAAACTTGAAAGTATATAAGTATCTTTCGTTTGTCTGCATTTAGATTCTTGTTCGTAATTGAACTTATACTGCTTTCTATATAATTTATATTCATATATATGTTTCCTAATTTATTATTATAATCTTTTGTTTTTTTTTTATGAAATACGAAATTCGAAATTTTATGAATCAAGTAAGAAGATTAATAAAAAGATTAATTGTTTACATGCCTTATTTTAATTTAATTTTATGTTAGATATAAATCGTAGGATTGTCAAATTTCTTTAATGTTATCTTTAGGATTAAATGTTACAGCTTTTTTTAGCTTAAAAAACAAATGCTAAAAACAAGTTGACGCATCATGCTCTCAATTGCTCTGCTGTCACAGTTGGCAATGAGAACTAATTGTCAAAAAAAGAAATAACGTTGTTAATATGCAAATTAAGTTATGATGGGGACAATTTTTAATATTTAAGATATATTTTGACTCGGGAGATTTTCATGTATTTTTATTATATTAAATTATTTTAATATATTGAAATTAGACGATTTAAAAAATAATAAAAATTGTTAGATTAATATAATTTAAAAGTAATATTATTTTGTGTGCGTGAGCTGTAATTTTCAAGATATTTAATCTTAAGTGTCTTAATCTTTCAATAAATTAAGTTTCTGAAAAAAAAATAATTCTCAATTACATGAAACTTTTTATGATTAAAGTTTTTTAATTTAATAATTACAATTGTGAATACAGAATTACATGTATAAGTATATTATTATGAGTATAAGGAATTTAATTTTATACATTATGAAATTTTATTTAAATTTCAATTTAACGCTTTGATTGCCATGTCGTAGACATGCATACTAATGATGTCTATTAATCTTCTTGAGAATTATGGCACTTTTATATGAATGATAATTTTCTACTTAATTCGCACTGTTCTTTCTTTATACGTTTAATTACATAAATTAAATAAAAAATAAAATTCTTTTTGCTTATATGAAGGCTATGACTTCCATGCAATAATTGTATGATGTAATTTGTGTATAATTATCACAAATATAATATAATTATGACAAATAAAGTATTAATTTCTTCGAATGGTACAAATTCATCTACGTTCATCTCATGCGGAAAATTGGCATCTGACAAATGAACAGCATGAGTTTCATACTACTTTTTGCGCGCTCTCTTCAGACTGCTCTCCGAGTTTTTAACCGTGCAAATAGCTCGAGGAGCACAAGAAAGAAAGAAGAAAACCGATGGAAAAGAGAAAGAAACAAAGAAACAAATGTATAGGGAAAAGTTAGAGAAGCTAATTAAGATAATAGAGAAAAAAAGATTGCAGTGCAAAACTGTTTTTAAATTTACTTAGCAAACACAAATGTCTCGCGCGCGGTTTGTTACATGCGTTTCGCTGCTTTTCCGTGAAAAATCACGGATGAGATAAACCGTGAGAATATAAAAAAAAGAAATGTACAAATACGTGAAAAGGAAAAAAGAAAGGAAGAAGAAAACGATCGCGAACGCCAACCAACTTTTCTTATACATGCATTCCTGCGCACTTTAAAGTAATATATCAAAGTTTTTTCTCTAATAGTTAACAAAAGCAACAGAAGAATATGATAATTGTAATTAATAGTATTAATTTTCGAAAACGAACGATCTCTGATTGATTACTGCCACTTACTTTTACGATGTGATTTCTGTGAGTTCTCGTGATGTCACTATTTATAGTCACAATACTATCACAATATTAACAGCTTTCACTTTGATTGTTAGAGTTTGCAACATTTTCTCGGGAAAGTTTCCTAGAAAAGTTAAGAAAGTCTCCCCAATTAAAATGAATATAATTAATTTCCATTAAAAAAAAATAGATATAACAATAAAAGGTTTATACACAGATTAAAAATCAAAATAATAAAAATAAAGGTTTATGAACCTAGTTAGATGTTTATTGTTAAATTATAATGAACAATTCAAATAACATACGTTTCTATCAAGTCAATGTTTAAAAAATTATATGCGATACAAACTATACATATTACAAATGCAAGTTTAAAACCTAATCATTATACTACTTTAGAAATTTTAAAATTAATATTAGATTGCATTGATTTTGTTGAGAAGTTTCCTTCCAACACCTGACGAATATCGCGCAAATGTAAAACGATCAAATATGTGAACTCCGCCTATAATTTATCAAAGAATGAATTTGTCCTTGTTCTCTAATGAATTTGTCAAGAACTGACAAATTTAACTACAAGCACAGTTTCATTGGTTGACGAGAGAATAGAAGATTACACATTTGATCGTTTTACATATGGATTCTATGAAAAGAAGCTTTACATTTGCGCGATATTTGTCAAATTTTGGCAACTTTTCAACACGATGTCTCAGCCTAATATTAATTTTAAAATAGTGTAATGATTTGGATTTAAACATTGCTTTTATAACTTCATATATATAAGTAGTTTTTAATAATAGTTTTTTGTCAACATAGATAACGACTTGACAGAAGTCAAAATGTCTATTATTCATTGTTGAAATTGTTCATCGTCAAAATTTATCAATTAAATTTAACAAACATTTAGCTAAACTTATACCCTCTTATTTTTATTATTTTGATTTTTAATTTCCACTTGCTTTTTATTTCTACTTGCTTTTTTACGTAATAATGTTTTTATGTTTATTTTATTACTTAAAAATTAATTTCTCGGTAAAAAAGTAAAGAAATTATTATCATATAATATTTTTCCGTTCAATAGCAACTTCTTAAATCAATTTATAAATTGATTGAAAATAAGTATTTTTTTTTCTCTTATGTATTTCGTAGAAATATTTCCATTGAGTTTAAGATGCTGTACACATTCATATTAAATTTTATTATAACTTATTATGGTTTATTTGAAATTATTTTATTGTACCTGTGAATATTTTTTTGAACATTTTTTTCAGTATTATAAAATGGAAATATTGATGTAATCTTTTTAAACTCAATTAAATCAATTAAGACAAATTTTAGAATCGGACAATTTAATCACACATGTTATAAAAATATGGATCTTAAATGTTTCCGATAGGAAGTGATAGTATTTAAAAATTTTGCAATCAATTATCCATAAAGCAAATAATTGATCCTCTCTCGTGAGATTTTTTGAAGAGAAATATGTACATCTAAATGAGCCGAAGGAATTGACGATACGAATTCGCCTCGAAAAGTGCACAACGCGTTAAATCTCTGAGAGCAGTGACGGAGTACACAAAGCGCTTTCTCGAAGGGAAAAACGCCAAAAAACTTATTGTCTCCATTAGAAGGACGAATGAGAAGAAGAGATAAAAAGAAAAGTGACAAAGGCGATATTTTTATTCTGCTCTATATATAGAATGCGATATGTCATCTGAATAAATAATTCAAAAATAGATAAAGCCACAAACAGTAATAATAAAAAAAATTAATCACGCACTCTCTCATACATATCCGAATGGAAATTCAAAAATAAAAAACAAGCGTTACTTGGTTGTAAAATTTAACGGTTCGGTGGATTATGCTTTGAAAATAATAAATAAAGAGAGAAAAGAGAGAGAGAGAGAGAGAGAGAGAGAGAGAGAGAGAGAGAGAATCGCGAGAAATGACTGGAGTTTTACAGAAAAGTTGCTTAAAGTGTGCAGGAATACGTGCGCGAGGGAACCGGGAGGGACGTTGGTGATGGCGGCTTCGTCGACCTAGCAGCGGAGCGCGACATGATTTTCGCTGGGAAATGGACAATTTAACGACTGGGGTACGTCCTAAGGTACGTTCACGATGTTGTCGCGTTAAAATAGAAAGCTAATTTGCCAAAAGAATTTGTCTCATTTTAAGTTACTTAAAAAATATTTGCGAAATATGTTTCTCGCATGATTTTTCACATCTACAAAAAAATTATTGAATAGAAAAGTTATCGGATAAAACTATCAAGCTATCTAAAATTGGTTTAACGTGTAAAGACTTAATTTTATTCTAGTCGCGATTTAATTATGGAGAAAACTGTATTTCGTTTGTTCGCAATTTCTAAGGCATTTCATTATATCATATTAATTCAGCGACTGAGTCTCATAAAACGATTATTAGAAACGATTATTGAAAGAGATCTATGTCCATCGTACACTATCCAAAATGTAATAGTAAATCTTTGAGCGCTCGACTCACGTACGATGTGTATGAAGGAATGAGGAAGCTTCTAGCATATATACGAAGGTCGATTGGAATGCTGCATTGTGATTACAGCGTCTCTATCGCGCTATTGGACTACCGGGATATTGCGGCGTGATACACAACCGATATCACGCGCGAGCATATGTATTCTACTTAGTCATTCTTTTCACTACAATTGTTTCTGTTCGATTACAGGAAGCCGAGAGACCTGCGACATCGAGGGAGAAGATATCACCGTCGATAAGATCCTGAACACAAGCTGCTTCCGCTGCATTTGCAAGGTAAACTGCGCGTATCCGAATAACTAATTAGCACTTAATAACACAGGAAATTACAATTGAATAAATTATGCGTATGGATGAATAAACTTAATCTTTTGGAAACTTAGCAGGGAAAGGTTTTATGATTGGTTTAATTATCAATCAAAATATGTACTTTCTAAAACTTTTAGAAAATCTTATTATTCTGAAGAAATCTCCTAAGAAAATTGAGTCTTTTTCAAGTTTGACTCAATTTTCACTCTTTAAAGTGAGATTTCACTCCAAAGAATTTAGAGATAGTATTATCAATTGAAAAATTGATACACTAAGAAAATGTCTGATTGAATTAAATGGAACTCTAGTTGAAAATGGACGAATCAAAATTTTCTGATTAAATCTATTAGAATTCTAGTTGATACAACCAGATTGATCTGAATCAGAATCTTTTGATTCATCCATTTTCAACCAACCAATGGAAGTATATAATTCATATAATAAATCAAACTCTATAATACGTGATTGAGAAATTTAACAGTTGAGATATATATTATACAAAACTCCATTAAAAATCGATTTCGAACTCGACGAAGAATACTGAGACGTCATATATATCATAATATTGTAACATGACGAAGTGTATCAATGCGAAAAAGGAATGCAAACGCAACAGGAGAGTAGCAGACGAGAAACGTACGTGTATCGAGTGACGCGTTGACAAGATTAGCGGGAATCGTGAAAAAGTCCGTCTGGTAGTATCCGATTCTAGTACGGCGATTCTTCTTTTAAAGAGAGGGAAGGGGCGGGGAATGAGAAGAGAGAGAAGAAACCGCGAGGGAGGTCGAGAGACATGGAAAGCTGCGTAACCATTTTCATAGTCCAGTTCATAGATTGTGTCGTTATCACGACGAGGCAACGCCATGTGGTGACGGTATGGTTAAAGGGGTTAAAGTAGCTTGGCCTGGTTCGGGAGGTCAAAGAGAGGAATTTCCACATCGATCCGTTCGATGCAATCGATTCGCGGTTGCGCAGCGAATGCACCCGCGCGCGCGCACGCACGCACGCACGCACGTACGCACGTTCGTTCACGCGTGCATCTTATGACGCGCCGGCCGCCGCCGTAGCCTCGATCATCCTCTCGACGTACCGACTGCATCGCGAATGATCTTAGCGCGACCGCGACGATTTATCTGCGCGTTTGGTTCATTGACTCGTCGACTCGTGACCGACCGAGATGAGGCTTCTTGTTTTCGCCCCGCTGCTGCCGCCGCCGTTGCTACTGCTGCTGCTGTTACCGCTGCTGCTGTTGTTACTCCGACGAGCGGCATGCTGACGGCGGTCAATGTATGACATAATTATTTGTTTGTTGCGCCGAAGCGGTCGACCGCGATCAATCATTCACGATTTATGAAACGCGATCATAAATCGCCCGAGCGAATTCAGTTCAGTTAGCTAGATGAATGTTTGCACGTTTATTTATTTACATTCTTATCGCAAAGATTTATTAATTTCTTAATTATTTAATTATTCTTGTTTATTATTATGGAATTATTCCATTTTTATTTCTTGTTGCAGTAATGTGCTTATTCCTTTATCAAAAGTATTCCTATTATATTGACTATTAACGATAGTGAAATTCATAATTTATTATATAATTAACATTTAGTTAATATAAAAAAAGTGTATGTGATTGCAGTAATATACAATTATGAGGAAATGTCATTAAAGAATTTAATAATGAAGTAAAAACCGAGTGTTTGCTTGATTTTAATTTTTATATAATTGATACTTTTTTCTTTACAGAGCTTTGTTTTTTTCTTTATTTACGATAGTTTTGGTATATTACTTGTTTTTATCTTCCCGCATGTTTATTATGAAAGTGATTAATTCATTTCAGGCAAGTTGCGTAAAAATATCAGTTAGACAAGGAAGCCTAAAAAGCAAAGATCTTTTTTTCGTGGCACGTGTAATTAGGTCCGCGCGTCTAGTACGTATGTGATGACCGTCGGACCCACGTTTAAATTAGTTTACGTAATTCTGACAGAAGATAAATCCGTAAAGACTTAATTATAGAACCCGATAACGAAACCGGAGAAATAATTACTGGAACGCGATAACGTGGACGTGGACGAGAAGTCGGAACAAGACGGGCGATAAAAAAATCAAGCCGGAATTTTGCTGTCGCCGCTATGTGATTCAATTGCAAACCAAATTTCCGATTCATAATATATTTTATTGGCGTATTCACATTCTTTTCTCACAGCTCACATTCTTTTCCTCGTGTTAAAACCTAATATTATCTTTTTTGATGAAATCTCTCGTGAATAATTAGTAATTTCAGCAAGCCATCTTCTTTGAATCTATTAAATTGCGGATAGTATAACGATTTATTATATTTCAGAAGTATATAATAAATCATATTTATGGCAAAACAGATATTACTTTTCTTTAAGATTATAAAAATAGGTCAAAACAACTTTTTTCTCATATATAAATCTACAACTATCTCAGAAGTTGGCATTTTCTTGAGGCACATTAAGAAAAATCGATAGAAAGTGCACGACTTTTGAATAACATCCCGTCCATACGCAAGAGAAATAAATTTTTGTCTCTTTCTTTCCAGAATGGATTCGTGGAGTGTTTGAAACAACAGTGTCCGAACATCGAAGGTTGCTACGCGTTGCTGGACCCGCGCGACGACGAGTGCTGCCACAAATGCACAGGTAGAATACCTGTTCGTCCGCTAATTCGCCTAATTATCCTAATCATTCTAATTGGCTCGGGTTTACCCGCGCCACAACCGGAATGGAAAAGAGAGAGATGAAAAGGGAGAGGGAAAATATGTCGGTGGCGGTAAGAAGGAAAAGCGAAAACTCGCGGAATGCTTGGCCGGCGAAGCATTGTTCCCGGGGCACAAAGACACTTCTGTTTGTCGACATGATGATAAACCCGAAGAACTTTAACGTCACAGTCTCTCGTGGCTGTCTCTGTTTACGAAATGTAACTGACAGATGCATGGTCTTTGTTATCATCTACTATTAATTATGCTAATGGTGACGTAAGTTTATTTGCTGCCTGCCGAAGGCAAAATCCGACCGAAAAGTGTATAAAGCACCCTACGCTAAAAAATATTAAAATAAATAACAAAACATAAGGAATAAAATGTAATATTGTTTGCAGTTTTATTTGAAAAAGATAAGAGACAAGTAGGTATTTCTACAATAATTAAAAAATTAAGTTTATCGTATAAACTTATATATTACCTAATAATTTGCTGTCTCTGAACATCCAAATTTTATTCGAACATGTTATTTTCGATGTACGCAAATAGTCTTGTCTAACTTTTAAGTCGACAGCATCTGTATATTTGATGTGCGATTTCGCGTGTAAATGATTGTACTTAGAAGACTTGGTCGCTTTTACATCGCAGGGTGCATGCAGAATGGCGTATATCACGCATCGGATACGGAATGGACGGAAGAAAACGACCCCTGTCTAATATTCACCTGTAAAGCGGGCGTCATCACTGAATCAAAACTACGATGTTACACGCCCTGTTCTCATCCAAAAGCGGCCCCATCTGGTCAGTGTTGTCCTATATGCGAAGGTGCGTAACTTTTTTCTTCTTTTTTTTTGCGCGCTTTGATGTTGCTGCTGTTGCTACTAATTACCCACGCTAGTCTCACAAATATTTCTCACGATCTTCTGATTGCCCGCCGCGCAATTAAAACTGGAATGTTCCGCTGATATAACGAAGAGAGAACGATAATGATTGAAAATTACTGCGCCGCTTCTGCCCGACGAAAAATGAACGGACGATAACACGTACGTTGTAACATTCTATTTCTCTTTTTCTTTAGAATAATGTAATGTAATAAATTTATAATACGACGTCCTCATAAAATTTTGCATCGTACAAATAATACGACCGCGATCTTTTTCTATATACAAAAAAGTTGTAGTTGTATTATTTGTACGATGCGAAATCTTATTAAATTTATGTGGTTACATTAGTTTAAAGAAAAAGAAAAATATATATGTATATTGTGCCTCTTTTCACATTGATACATATGTGTTTCGTATAAATTAATATTCTGTCTCAGCCAAAAACACACAATTTTACTTTTGAATGCTGAAAAAGAAGCTAAACGCGAAATGTTCGATTTATATCTTGTAGGTTGTTTAGTAAATGGACAGAAGGTGACGGAAGATAGGTCGGTGACAACGACGGAAGACCCCTGCGTGACCTGCAAATGCAATAAGGGACATCTCACCTGCGCGAAGCAAGCCTGTCCGACACTTAATTGTCCTTCAACGAGGATCGTTGATGTATCTGGGGAATGCTGTCCACATTGTCGAGGTGAAAGAAGTTAAATAGTTTTCATTAAGATGAATGTCATGCTTCTATTCCAAAAAGAAAAGAAATGATTTTTCTCTAAAATAATGACCTCCAAAAATTGTGCTTAAGAAAAGGTAATTCCATATTATGTTCCATATTATTATTCACTTCCTTATTTTTATTTGCATATATTTTCAATTTAGATGACGGTAATAACATGTTATTCTTTTTTCTTACGACAAGCTGCTAATTATAATATAGATATAATATTAATATAAGATTATTTATTTATTGCGTAAGCATTTCAATTCGAGGGATTAAATTAATAACGATCGGAGATTTATTTTAACATTTTTCAAAATGAACATTTTCTAAGCAATTGCACAAATAATTAAAGTCACTTTGAATTTATAGGTCATTTCGATCTCTCTTACAATACCAGAGGCGTGAACCGGTTTTTACCTTTTTACGAATCTGATTATTTTCCAATGTCGCAATTGCGCAAAAACCAGCGACACGTAATATTACGATTGTCATCTAGCCATCCAAGAATACGCGCTGCCATTTGATTATACATATCTCCCTTTCAAATTCTGCATTAAAGTATAATGCAAAGTATGAAATATATCACGATAATTACATCGAATAAAAATACAAATGGTAGCGTTAAGATTGCATAAATTAAAAAATATTACATAAAATTAACATAAAATTTACAAATATTATTACCTACAAACACCTATTTATATATCTCATTGGACTATAGATAACATTAGATATACAGTTATACGTGAGAAAATAATTCGCGTAATTGACAAGCATGACAAGGGAACGATTCATAAAACATTTTGCTTGTAACACGATCATTAGCACATATTCAAGTTAAAAAATTAAAAACATTACTTCTATCACACAGGCAGTGCAAGATTTTTCTCACCTCCGAAAGGCGCGTGCATGCTCGGCACGCATTTATATAACTCGGGTAGTGAATTTTACGTGGATCACTGTACGCGCTGCACCTGCGTCAATTCGGCGATCTCGTGCATAAGGGAGACCTGTCCGGTACTGGAATGTCCCAGGGAACATCAGATGCTCCTACTCAACCGCTGTTGCCCGCAATGCTTGCTCGTCGAGGAGAGCAGGGCCTCTTGTTCTTATGGTGGAAGAACTTATGTGGCGAGTATCACGCTTTTATTCATCGTCATGCAATCTTATCCGTCGCGTGAGGAACCTAATTGCGAAATGAGAAACTGAACTAGAGTATTATCGAATAACCTTTATTAAGCTATAGCAAAATCAAATCGGATCTTTGGAATGTTTAGTACTTCTTTTGTATTAAATTATATCATTAAAATTAATTTTGTACTATGTGCTATTTTGAAAAAAATCTATAGCACTGCTATATTAAGCTGGCACCACTTTAAAATAAAAAGAAAAAAAAAACAAAATCGGGATGAAATTGGATTGAATTTAACTAATTTTTTCTTATCATTAAAATATGAAAGATTTGAAAACGTGCGATTACATTATTATGTATATAATATAAATATTGGAAATTATATAATTATATAATTATATAATTAGAAATTATATAATCATAAATTTCATAATTTTCAATTAATTATAATTTATAATATCAATATTGTAAATATTATTATAATTATAAATTTGAGTAATCGGATTGTGGAAAGTGATGCGGTGCTGTGCTCTAATTTTTTAAGATTAGTCTGAGAACTTTCCGATTTACAACGTACATAATTTTTTACTTGTATTTACAATACTTTGAAAGTTTAAACAATTTTCTTGAAGTCAATTTTCTTGAACAAGTCCTAGAATAAATAATATTTATCAATAGATATCAGATTTTTACAGATATTTTTGCAGACATGCACAAAATATGCAATATGTACAATAAATATGCACTAATAAATATGCACTAATAAATATGCATTTTTAGAATACTTTTTTGAAACAAATTTCTATTTTTCAATCTGCTTTTTTAAAAAATATGAAATTGCATAAGAATCCGATGTCTATTTATCAAAAATATGTTTCTATAAAAACATTGATAAATATGCGTACGTATCACTTTAAAGAGTTATGTAAAAAATCAATTTCGTTGCGAAAGTATCTTCTCGCGAGATATTTTCATTTCGTATTCGTTGCTGTTTCATGGTCATTTAAACGACCTTTTTTGTCCTAGGCAGGATGGCGAAAATTGGAAGCTGGATTCCTGTAAGACATGTACCTGTAAACAGGGCAAAGTGCGCTGCGCAATGCCTCAGTGTCCGCCGATGAACTTTCGTTGCCCGCCAAATTCTAAATTGGAACATCCGGAAGGCCAATGCTGTCCACGATGTGTAGAGCGTGAGTTTTATCGTGTTGTATCTTACAGGATTAGTACTCAATAAAAATATTAAAATTATTAATTCTTCCAGGTGACGGTGTTTGCACAGTTTTTGGAGATCCACATTATCGTACGTTCGATGGAAAATTCTACAGCTTCAAGGGAGCGTGCAAGTATCAACTAGTTACCGACTGTTTTTCTCATACATTTAGCATACGGGTAACTAATGATGCTAGGAAAACGAAATTTTCAGCGTGGACCAAAACTATCGCTATAAAGGTACATTAAGTTATATGAATTTTAATTTAAATTATAGTACAAAATAAATTTAATAAATTAAATCTCGCTTCCTTGAACTGAATAGGCTAAAGCTAATTTTTAAAGAAAACTAAGAAAATGATACGAAATATCGTTATCGCATTCGAATAATATCACTTGTTCGCATGTGTAGTATTTAAAATTAATGCTTTCAACGTTCTTTAAAAGATTAATTTTTCAATTGTTTTACAAATGAGGCTATAGATTTTGATTGATGAATTGGATTAATAACTAGATTAATAGCGTTGCTAAATAAAGTCTTCTCTGAGGTGAGATTTTTTTGCTCGAAAAGAATTACATCAAATAAGATGGAAAAAAACTTTTTCTATTAATGTCCCATGCGATCATGTTGCAGATCGGTGATTTAAAAGTGAATCTTGGTCAAAAAATGAGAGTGAAAGTAAACGGGAAAAAGGTGAACATTCCTTATCGCGTTGCTAACCAACTGGACATCAATCGTACAGACGACAGTGTGATTGTCAATACGCGGATCGGAATCAAAGTTCATTGGGATGGTATCAGCTTTCTCGAAGTATCCGTGCCTTCGTCATATAGGGGTCAACTATGCGGTCTTTGTGGTAACTTCAATTCCCAAATCAAAGACGACTTTACTGCGCGACATGGACGAGTGGTTCAGGATCCGCAGCAGTTTGGTCAATCCTGGATTGTGGGTGGTGCCAAGAAGACATGCCCTCGAACGAAATTTGGAAATAATACCAGGCAGAGACGTTGTCGAGAAAGAAAAGATCAGCGGTACTTTATTTATATAATTTTGTTTATTTCCTTATTAATATCTTCCCAAAGAGTATCAGAAGTAAAATGAATATATTTTCATTATATCAATTATTTGATATAGCTACAAATTGTAAAATAATTTCTCTAATATCCTAAAATTCTTAATAATGATATTTACGTAATATTTTATAAAAAAGTATAGTCTTATTGTTGATAATTGTCAGTAACACAAATATTTCTACCAAATTAATTTTTAATTAAATCACAATAGTATTATATCTGACAATTTCTCTTTATTATTTTATTTTGTCGCATGTCGTTTTATAATAATAATCGCTAATGTTTCCAAAATTCATTCTATGTCCATTTCAAGATATACGCCTTCTATTACAATTTCCTGATTGCAGATTATGTAATCGACTAAAGTCACAGATTTTTTATCCGTGCCACAAGAAGGTGAATCCGGCGATGTACTATAAAGCCTGCCTTCAAGATATGTGTGAGTGCCCGACCCAGCATTGCTATTGCGAGTCCTTCGTGGCATACGCGCACGAATGTAAACGTCTCGACATCCCGCTGCCACACTGGCGGAAAGCCACGAGATGTCGAACCGTTTGGGACCAGTCAATAAGTTCGACGAATTTCGCTCGCCGTTTACATTAATCGCGCACTTTGTCCACCGCCGCGTCCGGCCTCTAAAAACTCTATCTCGGAAGACGTGCAGCGAGAAACCGTATCAAACTTGATATATGCATTCTGCATGCATTTAGAGAGAAATCAACTCTATATGATCCCATTCCTCTTCTTCCTTTTTCCTTTCTAAGGTAACATTTTAGTATAGGCGAATAATGAAGAAGAGACACGATGCTGAAAGACATTTAAAATTAATGTGCATTTGTTCCATAGAACTATATAACACTCCAAAACACACGTGTGTAAGATAGTCAAAGAAAAATAAAATTTTTTTCTGGAATTCGGAATCAGTTCCTAAAATCGAATTTTCTATTGAAGAAGATGAAGCTTCCGATTAAATACTCAGTAAGCGAATAGCACAAAGAACGTGGTATTTTTCTTAGTAGTACTTATCCTACGGCATATACTGCGAGGGATTAATGTGAAATAAGTATTCATAAATGCTTATTTATTCGTGGAGCAACGTAATGCACGCGGCACTTATAAGTCTGCCGTCTATAATGAGAAACGGCAATAGACTGTTAATGCGGTAGAAAATGTTTCGCTGCTTGCGCTGCAAATGTAATACGAACGACTATACATATATTGACTGACAAGCCGTCGGAATAATCGTGGTATTATATTACGACAAACGACGTATGTAACTGTTAACAATGATGAAGCATAAAATAGTTGAAAATTTTTTCTTGACTTTGCAAGCTACCAGCTTACGTCTCCTCTTCGACATTCTTCGCGATGTTATCTTTCTATTCCCAAGAGCTCCTTCTGTCTGCGAGAGCGCGCAGACCGGACGCGGCGGAGTGCTCGGCGAGAATCTACTAGTCACCACTTCGTATCAATATGCATTAACGGTAAGTTCCTGTGCCCCCGTGTTAATAACGTCGAGTAGTAACTAGGGACGCACTCGAGCCGGAGTAATACTCTTTCATAGCTTTGACAAGAAAAGAATCAAGTTTTATATTAATAACGATTACACGAATAATAATTATACAAGATCAATAATAATTATACAAAAAATACATATAAAATATTACACAAAAAAGATCTTTTTACTATCAAGTAAAAATTTGATTTGCAAGTTGCACGCTAATTTCAGGATCACATTTTTTTAGAAAAGATGAAAAGCTTAATATCTTTGTTTATATTATTTCTGGTTTACTTTTATAATACAATTCACACACAATACAGAATATAAAAAATATATTCTTTAAAATACGAAATATATTTTTTCCATTATTGTAATATCTTTAAAAATTATAAATGGATTTAAAATTTACAAATATTTTTTTTCATGAATCTGTTTACATAAACTTTGTAAGAAATTAGATTACTCTTACGCGCAAAATCAATATCTTTCAAATAAAAATACTTGTTTAATTCAGTTTTATGTTTCCCAAAATTAGCACATAATAGATTGCTATTTAAATTATCGACCCATAGCCATTATTTTTAACAAATCCTTCTTACATTTCATTATTTTTTGATTTTTATAGTGAATTTTTTCAGTCAGACTCTGACTCGAGTGCTTCTAGTAGCGACTGTTCGTCGACGCGGAGCGGCGGCGATTTCGCGCTCATTCGTACGGAAATCTCACGTGGGTCACAGCAGCACAAGTACACGTCAGCAGCCATGACGTCCGGAACATGGATCTCACATGTGTGTATGTGTGCGTCACGATTTCACGCGAAATCCCGTAGATCCGAGAGGAAGTATTGCGAGTCAAGCTAGAGTCGTGCAAATATCGGAAAATGGATAATCTTGTGTCGCACAGAGTGAAGCACAAAAAATAAAACTAATATTTAGCTCTAACTTGGTGTAATTTAATCCTGAATTTTATGTCAATGCAGGTCAATATCGCATATATTATTTAAATCAAGAACGCGACTTATCTAGTTTTAAGATCGTCCCTCATGGGATATTGGATTATTATCGAACAAAAAAAATTGATGTGAGATACCGTAATTGACAATATGTAGTGTCATTATATTGTATTGTAATCTCATAATTATTGGCATTTTTTTCATAATTGTAAATGCTGCCTTATGAATTTTATATGGACTTCACTGAGAGGCTTGTGTATCACTCGATAATGCAGAAGTAGAATTCTATTGAACAAGAAATATACATAAGTACATAAGTACTTTTAGCATTTGATAAAACGAAACCGATATGCTTGAATTCATGAGGACTTTAGCAATTAGCAGCAGATGTCTTGTAATGTTTCGGAACACCGTGCAGTATTTCGGCCGATGAGCAGGCTCGCGGCATAGCATGTACATCCCAGTTTAACGCAATCGATCGATTATATGTATATGTATGTGTACACATATAAATATGTGTGGACTCGAAGGTCTTTGAATCCACAGATCTGTGTTTCTACCGAATCTTGTATTCGTATATCTGTGTTCGTATCTTTTTGCGGGTCTCCGCATCCGCAGTTCAATGAATCATCGAATTCATCTGATGAATCATAGATCTGCGGTTTTTTAAACTCTCTTTCGCTTTCTGAGATCTTTGAACCCCAATTAAATTCGGAGATTTATCCGTAAATCGCACATCTAAAATGGATATTTCTATATACGTTGCTCTTTCAATTCATAAATCTTTTGATTCATAATTCTGCGATTGCGCGATCGCTCTCTTGGGATCTGTATATAATAAATTTAGATCCACGAATTGCGCTTGCACTCATGAATCGTGGTTTCACAAATATGTTCTATTCCTAGATCCGTGGTGCCATAGATCTCTGATCTCATTGTAGATCCACCGTTTTACACAGATGTTTGGATTCATAGGCTCGCCGTTTATCAGATTCTTACATTTTCGTCATGTAGAATTAGGAGGGAGCATTTCCCGTTTTTCTTCGACGACAAGTACACCTTTTTTATATTATGTACAACATATATCTAAGTAGCGTAATGTTTATATATATTTTAGCTTTAGTGAAATTTACAAATTGTACATAGAAAGACACGATTATTAACGTTAAGCGAGCACTAAGCATGGATTCTAATAAGTCGTGCCACAATTTTCATTGATTCTTCACCTATTCTCTTTTTTTTACTCCATTTCTTTATTCGACTTTCTCTTTCATTTTCTATATATTTCTTCTTTTTACTTTTTATCTTTAGCAAATTATTATAAAATTTTACAAAACAGTGTAGACTTTTTTTATTAAAGCTACTTTTGCGAAAAGCGAGAGAATGACGGTTTTTTTTTTTAATTTAGTAAATCTGTACATAGCCAAAATACACTGTAATTACTTATCACCGGCGAGGAATCGAACCAATTCTGAATATCGGGTAGTCCAAAGCGTTAGCCAATTTTTGTCGACTTTAGCATAGAGCTACAGTGTAGAACAAAAAATTGAGCATAATAAAACCAATTATATTCATAGAGACTGTGTCTGTAAAATTTTCTCTCTTCCTCTCCATATTCGATAATACATCAAGAAAGTTCTATATGCATCATATCATTAAAAAATTTCTTTTGTAATTATTTTCTAATAATTATTCTTCGTTATTTTCCCATAAATATAGAACATTATTCTATATTATAATAAAATTATTATAAATGATTATAATATGTGGAATCAAAAGAAGGGAATAACATAAATTTCAGATATATATTCATTTATTTAAAGAGATATTTTCCTTTGACAGTCAACGTTTGAAAATTTCCGAAGTTGTATTATTACAAATTGTGGCTTTATTTTTTTTTAGACCAGAGTAGAGATTTCATGTAACATGCCGATAGATTTCAAATTAATTACACTAAAATGTATATGAAATAAATCTTGAATAAAATGTACTAAGGAAAAGAGAAGAACGTGTTCCATTCGAAAATATGAAAACATTTTAGAAAAATTTCGAATTATATTAAGCGATACTTAAAAATATTTCCAACGCACGGACGAGAAATTATCGTGTATCAAGGTCATTTAACAAACCTCATAACACGAAAGATTCGAAATTTTTATTACGACATTATAAATGCACAAAAATATCTTAAAAATATTCATAAATATGTAAATACATATATTATACATGGCGTAACCAAAAAAACGATAGATTTTATTACAATATGATAGAGGATGAAGTAGAGAGTGCTACGTGTTGATATATATATTCTACATATCTGACTACTTTCTACCTTTTTCCTTATCTTTTTTTATTCTTTTTTTCTTTATTTCCTATCTCTTTCTTTAACTTAAATGCTAAGTGCAATGCTAATCAACTGTTCAACTACTTCCCGCGATTACGCGCAAAATACGCACGCATCTGCAGCGTTGTTAATCCAATTAAAAGATCAATTAATCATAGATCGGATATGCTTCTCATAAACTTTTTCAAATATTCACGAAAAATTAATATTTACGTTACAAGAACGAGAAATACATTAATTCTAACGAAATAAATTTTTGTATTATATTATTTAATAAAATGTTACGTTTCTGCTCTAGATATTTTACACGAAATAACTCAAATTTAATAAATCATATTTAATTATAAATTAAATTTTATTAGTTATCCTTTTATCGTCGCAAATGCATTATGTGTACCTCATAATTTACGATTTTAAAAGAAAAATATTTTGCTTCCAATGAATTTTCTTATCTCCCTTTATTGATAAAAATTTGTTATTTTATGCACAATGAAATATTAATGTGCAGTAAATAAATAACATTAGAGATTTATATTTAATCATTCTGATTTTTTTCCGTTAATGAATCTTCGAATTTCATTTGGAGAACAATTCGATGAAATTTCTCCATTCAATGATTTTTGATTCGATGATTTTTCCATTCAAAATCGCGATAAACGCACATACTTGCGCATCGATTCCTTCAAAATTTCATATCAATAAAAACTATCCTCTTTCGAAAAATTAAAAAGGTAACATTTAAAATGAGAGATCAAGAAAGAGAAACAGAAAAAACGATAGTTCAAAGGAAAGTGAATGACAGAAAGGGAAAGAGATAGAGATCAATAATTACTATAAAAACTAATATCGCATCACATTTATATTAAGAAAAAAAGGAATTGCTATAAAATCTCTCTGTCACATATTTTTTATTAATGAATTTATCACTTTATCGTCAAATCAGTTCTTAGTTACAAAAACAAAAATAAATACGAATACATTGCGTCTTTTATAATCAAATTTGAATAGAAAACATTTTTTATACAAAAATAAAAAATACGTGCATGTACTTCCATAAATTCCTTTTTGTTTATTAAATAACTCGTATCTATAGCAGATAAAATAATACTCGGTCAAGTTTAATTCTTTATAAATATACAAAATAAAAATTTCTCAAATAATGATTTTATGATATTTTTTCAAATATTCTGTTCAAAATTAAATGTTGATAGATAATAGCTTATTTTTCAAATCTTATTAATAATCGCTTTTGTTAAATCGGATATGGATTTATTATTGGATAGAATATTCTCAATGCTAAGAAAGATAAAAGCAAAATACTTCTTGCAAAACTATAATTCTCCATCATACTTATTAGGATTTTTAGCCTAATATTACACTCTCTCTCTTTCTCTCTCTTTCTCTCTCGTAGGTATATGTATTAACGACTGCAACTTATCAGCTATAATGTCTTTCAATGCCTTTTTATACGCCTGGACCAGACTGAAAAATTCTATAGGAAAATGTCACAAATGTGACAATGAGAGATTCATTAAGATAGACGCATGTAGAAAGAAAAAGGAAGCAACAGCTTCCTTTTCATTAATTTCGATTTCTCTTTTCTTAGTACAAAAATAGATTTCGGGCACAGATCGCGCAGCCCCTAGAAATATTTTAAATATGTGTGTTAAAATAACCATATTTATAATATCATTATTCTATCGCAAAAACAATATCGGGTTTTCATGGCTATGGGCGTAAAATTGGTACATTTCTCATTTTGACGGATGCAGAAATTTTTTATTACGTTTTTCAAAGTTATAATATCATGGATCAACAAAAAATTGCATTATCGTAACATCCGAAGACGAATGCGGCGAACGCAGAATGTGCAGAGAGCTAGTATGCCAACTATCACATTGACTTACAGTAATATAATCGTATATAATACAACAATGTAAATTATAATTAATTAATTATAATTATAATTAGCAAAGTACATACTATGAGAGAACATGATTCTGATTTCAACTGGTAAATTTGTTACGATATCTCGAAATTATGCATGTCGGACAACCGACGCAAAAATGAGACATAATTTCGCGACGAGACTGCGCGAAGTCGCCCGATCGAAGAACAAGAATCGCCCGTTGAAAAAAAGGGCGAGAACTACATTAAATCTTTTATTATCTCGGAACACGATCAATAATAACCGATGGCCTCAAGTTGTAAAAAAACTCGTATCCTTTTACTGTAATGGCGATTTTAATGACGCCTATAAAAATGTATCCTTACTGCAACGAAATATGATACATTTTTCAATGTAAAATATTAGAAAAGAAATCTCATTTTAATCGAATGCTCTTTCGCTTCTTTTACGCTTCTTTTAAGAATACTGCTTTTAAGAATATTTCTTTCGCTTCTTTTAAGAATACTGCACAGCGAATAAATCCCATCATAATTAAATTATGACGTTCAATCGAGGCGATGATCTTGGAAATTCATTATTTACGTAAGAAGACGAACAAGGAGACGAGAAAGAGGATACGAGCTCGTCCTTGAATCAGTATTTTTATACATATATCGCAACTCAACGAGCTGTTTTCCTACCGATTATTTGTGTTGTAATAACTTATAAAGAATAAAGAAAATATGATTATTTTGTCGCTATAGATCCTCGAAGCGTATAAGAAAATTTTATTATTATCTTTTTATCTTGATATCGCAATCCGTCATAATCAATTGCAATTGCATATATAATTAGAATAAGTTCGAAAGAGTCGCTCGTTAAGTTGCCAATATCAGGTGTATAAAAACAAAGGAAAAGCTCGCGTAGAGCTCATCGACTACGTCATCTACATTAATTACGTGTATATTAATTGATAATAAATATTAATGTTGCTATTAACCGCGAGTGTCACCACGATCATTGAAACGAAAAAAAGAAACATAGGATCGAAAATGAAAACATCGCGTGAGTATGTCTCATGTGTTTATATATTCGCTTGTATTAATCATAGTCTCCCTAAGCTTCTTTCGCCGATCGTGTCCTCCTTGATAAGACGAATCGGGAAATCTCGATGAGAGGAGGTATCCTCGAGTAATTATAAAGATGCGCGAAGAAAGCGCTAAGTGGATCAAGGCACTGCCCTTGATCCTTTCGATTGTCAGACAATGCAAAATTAATTTATTATTTATTTACGCGCAAACGTTTTCTTCTACATATAAAAGATTTACTTTCAGGAAAGAAAATTTCAGAATAATGTATAATGATATACATTACGTAAAATGATAAAATCTAGTCAAGCATGCGACAAGAAACTTTATGTAAGTGTTACGAATTAATCGCATATCTCATCTCGTGTCAAACGTTATCGAATCGAATAATATCGTACGGCATCAACGAGGAGTGCATAAAACATTACACGCCAACGCGTGCTGGCGTTCATATTGTCAATTCTCCTCGCATAAACGCGAACTATTGTGTCATATAATTCCGCTTCTGTATTATTCGACGCGGCGATCGCTTATTATCGGTATCGGGCCAGGATCGATTCAGCACCTCGATTCGCATCAAGAAACGTTCCATTATTACTTACTGATATAATGTATATATGTATATTATGAGTTTATCGAGCATGATACCCCTGTAATCGTATCTACGCTCCCATTGAAGAAACGGAGAAAAACTAGGAAAGACATTTCAGACTCATGTCTTCGCAACGAATGAAGGAGAAAGGAAAAAGTATAGCCGTACGTGGCTTGTGTTTTACGTGAGTATGAGTGTATGTATGTGAGTGTACTTTTATACGTTTACATGTATGTGTGTGTCAATATGAAAGTTGACCTCGACGTAGTACTAATAAATTCTTTACCCGTCGTGAGTCCAGAGAATCTAAGGACCCAGCTCTAAAGATCCGCTATTTAAGAAGATTAAACCGACGAGAAGTGCAACATTAACGAAATATTGATAGAAATTTATAATGTATAATATATATTATTTATATATATATATATTTATATGTAATATATGCCATAATGACTTTGTATATATATATATATATTATGTATATGTATATATAATCATATATTCATCCATTCGTCCGATATATATATTATATATACTCTGGAAGGCGACAGTAGAGAAACTACTGAAGTAAATGCATAATAATATACGCAAAGAAAGAAGACATCGATTTTGAAAATTTCCTCTTGTCGATTTCATATCACTTTTTCTTTATTTCCTTTTTATG